TGAGTTAGCCGATGATACCTACTCAGTACGTGTTCCTTGTACTGACCCCTACTTGTATTTTCTTCTTGTTATTTTGTGGAGTGCAGTAAGTGCACCATCGACTTCGACTCGCCCTCAACTCTATCCAGTCTCCAGCACATCAGATTTCAGGGTGAGCTATTATTCCTAGCTCGGACTGGATTCTCTCCCTCCCGTCTTGATGTCTTTGAAGTTCGAACATGAACCATTTTTTTTACTTATTTTAGCTTCTTAAATACTCTTAGATTTAGGAATTTGAGGATAGATGTTCTTGATGTGATGACTTCCAGATTTTGGGATTAATAAATATTAAACTTTAGAAGTTTATTTAATTGATTACGTTAATAAGTTTTGGATCTTCCGCAGTATTTTTACTACTCATAATTTATATACTGGTAAATGTTGGGGTTTAGATTTGTTGGTTCGCTCACCTAGGAGGATAAGTGTGGGTGTCACTCGCGGCTCGTTTTGGGTCGTGACACTATCACTGAAAGTTAAACAAGGACTTGGTTGTGTAGCTAAACTAACCTACCACAGTTAATAAAAAAAACATTTGCTGATAAGTGAAATCGAGGGCATATGTAGCAGCTAAACAAAGAGAAACTATATACACCTTATGCATAAACAAGGATTGACAGAGAAGACAAATTTTACAAAGAAACAAGCCACCTGTTAAGCAACACGATTGAGACAAGAATCTGTAGACACAAAATGCCTCGAAAAATTTGTCATTATTGCCAAACTTAGAACAAAATAAAACTTATTCTACCACAAAATACATGTTCAAATTTAATATTTTGAATTTTTCCTTCAAGACTAATACAACAATATTGACCTAATTTTACCTCCATGCATCTATACAAACAGCAAAAAAACAAGCTTACATAGTAAATACAAGCAATAATTTGTATAATTTGTGAAGATTCAGATGAGAAAATCCAAAAATATGAGGCTGGTTCATTATTCAAAGAGGTGATAAGTGGAAAACATTACCTTACAACACCTATCCCCTTTTGAATCTCGTGAGTAGCTGAAGTTTATAGAGCTGTGAGGAGACGCCGGAGGAGTGCGATGGTGACGACGGAGAAGTACCGCTAGACGTCGGAGGTGCTTGTGACAGTGAGAGAAGTGTGACAGTGAGAGAGATAATTTGGAAGTTTCCTAAAGTTGGGTTTATTTTGTGTTTTGCAATTTAAAGTAAAAATAACTTTTTATTAAATTATTTATTTCCAAAAGTTGTGAGTATTTGTATTTCATAAATAAAAAATATATATCTTATATTGTGAAATAAAAAATATATTCTGAAATAGCAAATGTTTAAACTCTCGGTATTTACTTAAATTTTTCTTTAGGGGTTTTAAATCCCGCTAAATATTTTTATTTTCCGTCAGCTATTAAACCCCCGTTATTTAATGTAATATGTGGGATTTGTAGCTAACCTCCGCTTTGAAACCCCCACGATTTAGGTGCTTTTTTGTAGTGATCAACAACCTCTTTTCGTTGTGTAGTTGTAACCATAGGAGAAGATACAGGCATATCAACCAACTCTCATTCGTATTGGGGGAACTTATGTATTTATATTTTTAAAAGTTCAATCATAAAATAAGTATTTTGAATCAAATAAATAAAAGGAGTTAATATATGGAATTTTTTTTCTTACTAGAGAAATATGAATATTGATAGGAGTGCATCCTATTTCCACACAATGGTTGATGTGAATGAGTACTTTTTCTGAGGCACCCGATCTTTTTTGTTGAACGTAGTCCTGACCATTCTAATTGATCACCATGTGTTTGATAGATCACCTAACACATCACACAGTCGCTTATGTGTGTGGTCGGTCTATCACCAAACACATATTAAACCGTTGAGACATGGTCCCAATATTCTCTGTTATCTCTGCTTCCTTTTGTTGTTTTGCTGTAGCAACAACAACAACAACCTCTTTGTCTTTTGCTACTTCTTTTTTGATTTATACTTCAAAACCTTCTTTTGGTGCTTGATCATTGGTAGATCCATCTTTTTTAAACCTTATAAGAGGATGTAATTGAGTTCCATGTAGGCCCAGATCAACAACTCATTGTATTGAGGAAATTACTGTATTTATATTTTTTGAGATGGGGGTTTAATCTAGACCCTTGAAGAGAGGAGGGAGGCAGAGAGAGGGTGAGGAGAAGAGAGAAAATTTTTTAGGTGTAGGAGTCTTTGAAATATAGAGATGGGGGTTTAATCTAGACCCTTGAATCAATTAATACGTAGGGTTAGAATTTAATTTTAGATTTATTGAAATAAATGGAAGAATGAGATTAATAGATGAAGTGTTGAAATTAGATTGGAATGTTCAAAATTGTGACAACATTGGCTAGAATTGAAATGAAAGAAGTGACTATAATTAAAATAAAATTGAAATTAGATAGGCTAGAATTGAAAGGAATTAGAATAAGTTAGGCTAGAATTTAAATAATTTTGAGGAAATTTAAAAAAAATGTTATTTAATAAAAATACTACATATATTAACATACTGAAAATCACTTGAATTTTAAAACATTCGACATTTATTAATAATTTTAAACTATATAAATAATATTTGCAATAAATTTATAAAGTAAACATACTAAAATATATAATTTTCATACAAAATCGACTGAAATTCTAATCTTAAAATAAACTTTAGAATATGTATTTAGCCGAATACATTCCTAAAAAATGGTTAAAGGTCGATCAAAATTGGGTGTAACACTTATGAGTGAGACCTCCTTACTTTCAGAGTACTTTAGTTTTATTATTTGTTAGTAGTAGTTCTTTTGAGGAGTTGTGGGTCCTGCCCCAATACTCATCTTTGTATAGTAGAGGCTTCATAAATATACAGTTTTGGAGATTCTTTCAATTTCAGATTTTTTATTTAAAACTTATGTTTCAAACTCAGTATATCTAATTCAGTTTTGAGATTTAGTAAATTATTTTTAAACACTTCTTCCAATTTGTTACTTGTGTATGCTTGAGTTAGTCTTCTACTTGTAGTCAGCCAGGATGAGGGTTTGTTTAAAGGCAGAGAATGGTTCTCGAGCTCCAACCACGTGCAGGGTGTAGGCTCAGATCGTGACACACATAAAGTTTGATCTCAGACATGCTATTTATTCACATATGGAGCTATAGTTATATCATGACGCTCGATGAAACACACGACATTTTCTACTTCTTCAAATTATGCAGAGATAATAATCATTCATGAAGCCAGTCGAGAGTGTGTATAGTTGAGATCAATGACTCAACACATTTTGCAGTTGTGCGGTCTTAATGTGCAAACAAAGACTTCAACAATATTGTATGAAAATAATGCTGCTTGCACAACTCAATTAAAGGAGAATATATCGAAGGAGACCAAACAATACATACTTTATCTAATTAAGTTCTTTTTCACACATGATCTTCAACAAAACGGTGAGATAAATGTTCAACGGATTTGTTTGAGTGCTAATCTTGCAGATTTATTCATTGTCAATGTCCACATTTGAGAAGTTAAGATATAAGATTGGAATTCTTCGTCTCCGAGACATCAAATAAAGTTTTTATCAGGGGGAGTAAAATACGCGATGTACACTTTTTTTCATAACAAATGTTTTGTTTCATTGGATTTTTTCTGGTAAGGTTCTTAATGAGATAATATTCAAAGCGTATTACAATATGTATGCACCTTTTTTCCTTCACTAGACTTTTTTCACTTGATTTTTCCTAGTAACATTTTAACGAGGCACAATATCTATAAACATCCAAGGAGGGTGTTACAAATCCATTTAATTATATTGTGGATGTTTCTCTTAATACATCCCTAATATTATATATTTATTTATTGTATTAATTAATGTTACCCTAACATATTTGTTTAAAGGATGTAAACAAATATTTTCTGAATCTCAGAAAAAGGTATTCTTTATCCTTGTGAATAAACAACTAAAGAGAGATAAAATACTATTTTTCATGACCATTTATCTCCCTATATTGTTTAAGTATTCTTGTATTTTTCTCTTATGTTACAATTACAACAAGTTTATTATTATTTGCTCTTGTTGCATTGCAATCTAAGTTTTTCAAAGTCCTCTTTTTTTTTTCTTTTTTTTTTTTTTATGTTTTTGTCTGAAATTTTGAGTCATATGTCTAACACAAGTCCTATATTAAACCAGTAGATATCCTTCACAATCCGATTAGCTCCTTCAAAAACATTTTACTTTAGCGAGGAAGCAAGGTTTTGTTCGATTGTTCTTTAATACTATCTCTATTTACTTTTAATTGTCATAGGTTTTTGTTTAGAGTCAGATGATAATAATTTTGCCAAACAATTTACGATGTATTATTCATCATATTAATATAAAAAAAATAAAATTTATAGTACTATTCGTACTATTTTTGAATATTTATTTTTCATTTAAAGTATAATCTAATTTTACTTTGAAAATTAGTCAAATTGACTTTAGAAAAGTGCAACATGACAATTAAAAATAGACAAAGAGGAGTATTATCTTTCATCATATGAATTTGAATTTTGGATTGAGTTAGATTTTATCCAATTAGAATTTCTTGATTGAATTTTTAAAATTTCAAATTTGTTCTAGGGACCCTTTTTATTAAAGAAGAAAAAGAATTCGTTTGAATTTGCTTAAAAAAATAACTTTTGAATCAAAAATAAAAAGTCAAACTGAATTGAATTTTACGTCAAAAAATAAAAAGTAGGGAAAGACCTTATTTAAATTGTTTTTGACTTTTCTTAAGTTAATATTTTACCTTGTTAAATACTTCGTAACTTATTAAAGTAATTTTTTACTTATTCCATGTTTTTTTTTTATATTTTTCAAATACTTTTACAAGTCAGGAACTAATTTTAAAATATATATGATCAACTTTTTAAGCCAATTCAAAAAAACTCTTAAGGATTTTTTAGTTTTGTGATTTTTTTAGTTAGTATCTCAAAGTTCGATGTTTTAATGCTAGAAAAGATAACAAAGTAATTTTTTGTATTGGAGAAAAAAAATTGAGTAACTTTTCTGAAAAGAAGTAATAGTTACATAGCCACATCTCAAATTAACCTAATCATAATTAATTTTTATGTTTCTTAAAGTAACATTTTTGGAGGAGGCCGAACACATGGTCACTATATATATATATATATATTATATACGTGCAATCTAAGTTTCAAGAATATAATTTTCATATATTAGCAACTATTTCATATAGTATACATTTGAAAGTTCACAAAAAATTTCTTTCATTATATTGAATAGAATTTAACATAAATGATGGTACTTAAAAATTACTTATTTGATAAGTTTATCAAATTAGATATAGTAATAAAATTATCCACGAGACTTGAGAGTACCATTGTTGTACAAATAAACGGGGAGTGGCAAGTCATGCTCATCAATCACATAAGAGTATTTTCGATCATAATACCAATCACCAAATACCTTTATTGTAGTCTGCATCAATATTTCATCTAATTAATATCATAAAATAAGTTCCTATTTTTCACTAAAATATCAAACGATATTAAAATTAATCAATAATCATAAATACATTATTCAATTGATATATTTAAACATTAAGTAATAAGATGTAGTTATTATCTTATCAAAATCATGTTCATATATAGAATTTTATATATTTTTCATGCTTGAACTATTTACTTAATTCGATGTTATAATAAATTCTAGATGAAGAGAAGACAAGAAAATTGAGCAATTAAAAACTTAATCCTTTTTGTTTTTTTCTGGAAAATTTTCTTAGTTATCATTTATATATTAACCTATTTAAAGTTTCTCTTCATAGTTATTTCATAATTGATTTTCTTGTTATTTAAGTGATTAGGAAGCCATTTTAATTGGAACATATAATCAATAAGAAAAAAGAGTGATACAAAAATTTCAATATAAACATACAACTTATGAGAAAAATATCTATTGTATTTTAAAAAATCAAGGATTAAAAAAAGAAATAAACAGTCTTTTAAAAAATTAATATGATAATTTGAATTCGGAATTAAATAAAAATTCTTCTAACCTTCTTATATATATACTCCTATAGTATTATATAATGGTAAATTTTTATTTCTTCTTTCTTCCTTTTTATTCATCGTTAGTTTATTAATGAATTCATTTACCACATTCATCATATTTTTGTTTTCTACAAAAAAAAGAAAAAGAATTGTTCTAATATTTTCATTTTATATGCCTACAACGTAATATTTTTAAAATTATTATTAATACATACATGCTTGAATTGAAGTAAGTAGGAATAATTTTCATTCTTTTTGTTCGTTTGTGTTTTTATAAAAATAAATACATTAGATTATGTATGTGAAACATAAAATATCACATTTTATTGAATAATTTAGTAAGGTATTTTAGCTTTATGAATGACAGCTTTTGTAATTTTGAAAATATAATGAATTAATCAATTTCTTCTTTTGTGGATGTGAAAGGTAATTTTGTAGATATTAATTAAATATCACATATACTACAGTTTATATATTTTTAAATTTAAATTGAAGATATGTGAATAATAAAATCAAAAAAAAAAATCGTAGTAAACAAAATAAATGAATTTGTGATATATTAATGAGAAGAGCACTTAGAGCTCGTTTGGATTGACTTAAATAAAGTTACTTTTAAAAGTATTTTTGAAAGTGCTGAAACTTATTTTTAAAATAAGTAATTATGTGTTTGGATAAAAGTATTGTAGTTAAAAAAAGTTGTTGATGTGTTTGACAAATAAGTGTTGGTAAACCCTTTCTTTTTTTATCAAAATGTCGAAATATCCTTAAAGTTGTTAATATGATAAAAAAATTGATTAATTTAAGATTTTTATACTTACAAAACATTGATTTTTTTTTTTTATACTTTACATTTATAAGTAATATATTTCCTATCATTCACATAATTTTTATCATCACAAATTAATAATAATAATAATAATAATAGAATAATAATAATAAGATAATAATAATAATAATAATAATAATAACCACAACAACAATAATAACAATAATATTATTAAAAATAATATACTTGGTTAACATAAAATGACTTTTAAGTTGGAAAAAAAACACGCCTCACCTAGTTTTTAGCTTTTAGCTTGAAATAAGTCATTTTTTACTTAAAATAAGTCGCTTCGATAATTGTCAAACACTCAAATAAGTTAAAAATTGACTTTTAAGTTAATTTGATCAGCTTTTAACCCCATTCAAACAACCTCTTAATAAATTATATTAATCCAAGTGATAAGCTAATAAAAATCAATATTAAAAATCTAATAATTTTTTAATAGTGAACAATGTAATAAAAGAATTATGAAACATTTGATGTTATTAAATAAAAAACATGATTCGTTTTTTATATTCATATAGATTTGTTTATGAATATTGAAATAGGGTGCATTGGTGGAAATGTGGGACTACATTTCACTAAAGAAACAATGGAAAGGGACCTAAAATATTCTTAAATTATTAGAAATGATATAAAATTATCCTTCATCCATTTATTGGCTTCAAAATACCTTTCTCACTCATTTATTGTGTCCAAAATACCTCTGTCATCCACCTTTTGGTTCAAAATTGATCACTTATTTAACGGTTTTATATTTAAAGTATTTAAATATTTTTTTAATACATGACACTCAACTATTTGTTATAATTTTACTTATTAGTATAATTTATAAATCAATTCACTATTCACCCATTACTAATTAAACCCCTCCAAATTAATAAACCCGTCATATTATTAGTGCAACAACAAAAAAACTGCTACAAATTGAGTATTTTTAAAAATTTGAGGTGAAAATATCTATAGTAGTAAATTATCATACATTCATACATTCTAAATAAAAATTACCGATAAACTTAAAGTCTGACTATGCTCATCTTAATTATTCTTACGTCTCAATTATGTGATGTTACTTCATGGGTAACTTTTTTTTCAAAATAATATATTAAAGGTTTTAAAACAAATCATAAATATTTATAAAATTATATTTTAAAAAGGTGCATGAATTAATTCGGGATATATTACTTCTTTACCTTTAATCATAAATTTCTAATTCAATCTTGAAAGAGAATCCTATTGAAAGTCTCATCCTAAATAAGCGGCTCAACCTAAATTTAATTGGGGCTTAAATTCGAACTCGAATAATTTTGAATGTCATTTTCATGAATCTATAATTTCATCGTGTTTTAGTAGTGTTTATGACAATTTTAAAATTATAATTGGATTATTAATTGGATGAGATTTAGTTAGCAATGAGTGCGTAGTGGGTTGATTTATAAACTATATTAATAAATTAAATTATAACCAATAGTTGAACGCCGAGTATTTTAAAAAATATTTAAAGAGTTTAATTATAAAATAATTAAATAAATGATCAATTTTGAACCAAAAGGTGGATGACAAGGGTATTTTATGCCCTTTTCCAAAGAAACAATATGATAGTTGAACTTTTTTATAAGGTAATATTATTTAACACGTTTAAACAAGATATCACATTCGATACATTCGGAAAAAAATTAATATTATTTGTGCATCACTCAAGCATGTATACTAGTTTAATTCAAGGAAAAAGAGTTTGATATACCCTTTAACTTTGTCATTTAGAGTTGATATATCTCTCATTCTAAAAGTGGCTCATACTAAACCATTTTCCTCTAACAGAAGCAAAAGATTATTTTTGGATTAATTTTTATTAAAAAATAATTCATATAAGGTATATCTTATCCTTCTCACACGTTTTTGTTTTACTATTTTCCTCAAAAGTTAATTTGAATTTATTATTTTGATGTTTAAATTTATTTATTTTTACTTATTTTACTATAAAATTTATTATAGATGTCATAAATTTTTTTACAGATATAAAAACTAAATTTTATCACCACAAAAAAATAATTTTAGTTTTTTCCATTCACACTTCTTTCTTTCATTTCTCTCATTTAACATTAAAGAATGAAATGATATACGAATAAGAAACTCAAATAACAATAAATAATAAAAAAAATTAAAAAGTAATTTATGTGAAAAAATTAAATACATAATTTTTTAGGCATCGAAATCAAAAAAATAATTTAAAATTAATTTTTATCACTTTCCTAATTGTAAGCACTTTTATAATAAGGGATATATGCATAGTTGTTAAAAGGGGCCGACCCAGCCCCACCCGGCCCAAGTCTCGCGCGCCAAGGAATTTGAAGAGCTAGGGCGGGCTGGCCCTTCATTCGGAATAACCTGAAAATGTTCAACCCAACCCAAACCCTAGAAGGGTCGAGTTTTGGGGCGGGCTAGCCCTTCCTATTTTATTTTTTAAAATTTTTTTTCTTTTCAAACTTATTCTATAATATTAAGAAAATGAGAAGATTTTTGAAACAAATATGACAAATAAAGGTATTTGTTAATAACACTAAGGAAAAATCTAGTGTTATTAGCATGTATCTCGCATACTAGATATGCGAGTGAGATAAAAGAGTGACAAGCAAAATTGGAGGGAGGCAAGGGCACGATATATGTCTATGCATCCTAGATACATGTGAATCTACTTGGATAGAGTGTATCAAGAACATATTAACCTAATTTTGAGTCCATAAGAGATACGTGTATTTGGACGTATCAAAATCTAGTAAGATTTATAATATTACAACATATCGTGTATTTAAGTAATTAGACTATATACTAGTCATATTATTGTAAATTACCCTTGAATAAAAAGTTTTGGCTCATGGGCCAATCCCGCCCCCACCCCGATCAAGTCTCAAGGGCCAAAGACTTATACAAGTCGTGCTTATAAGCCTTAGTGTTAAAGGAGCTTGAAAAATCCTATCCCAACCTTACCCCAATAAATGGTTGGGTTAGGCCGGCTCCATGGGCTAAGTTCATTTTGACGGCTTTAAATATATGTAGGTCACTTTTATTACGAAAATATATCAATTCTAAATGACAAAATTAAAGAGTATGTCATACTCTTTTCTTTGCAATAACTTTCAAACAATTCATTGGTATTGGCATTTAAACTTCCTTTAGAGAATGCTACTTTAGATCCAATTCTCAAAAAATGACTTGTACTACCAGGATACTTCCTACTTAACCCTGATAACTAATAAAATTAAAAGCAAAGTTCTCTTCTCATCTTATTTATATGATGGGTACTTGTTAATATGATGGTCCAACAAAATCTTTTTCACTCTCACATACAATTAAATTTATTCAAATACATTTTTTACATTTCTGACACTAAGAATTCATATTGAAGTAACTCCCCTCTGCGTATCAATTTATGTGGCATAATTTAAATTTTGAGAGTCGAATAATTTAATTTTGACAATACAGATATGAACTCATAAAATTTTTTGAAATAAAATATATAGAATTGAAAACTAGTACTAGTAAGTTTTTTTAAAAATATTATAAGTCACAATAATTAATAATTTTCAAGATATTTAATACATATCTTACCAGATTATTAACCGGAGTAGCATTGATTTTATTCCACCATAGTTCAAGCTGTGTATGACGATTAAACGAATCAATGAAAACTCCTCTTTGTTTTGGATCATTTGCTTTTGGCAAAGCTCTTAGAAATTCTGACCTCAATTCTGAAATAAACAAATTGCAAACACATAATTATCGTAGTAATGTATTGTAAAATGTAAATGTCCATATCATGTTGCCTAATAGAAGAAAGTAGAGTTTGAAATTTTTCGAGAGTGTGCAAACCTTTGAAGGCATTGTTCTGATTTTCAGTGCAATTTCTAGCTTGAATGTATTCGCCGATATCAAAGCCTATAATACTGTTTACCTGTAAATCATTTCATTTAAAAATGTCAAATGAAAAAAGGAAGAATATAGTACTCATGAATTATTACTATATCCAAATATAATTAAACGCGTGGAGAAATAACTAATTTAAAGTATAAATGATTTGTCGTTATGTATGTACCTGATAGCTATCAAATGCTGACATTACAGTAAAAAATGGCGTCTTGATGTCTCGTTGTATGTTTTCTGGGAAGAAACACTGCAGAGAATTTGTAGTTTTGAATTAATTCATTACTTCAGAAAGCATAAATGTCAATATAGTTAAAATGCAGGACGTACCAATTCTGGTTTCATTCTCGAAGTGCATGATTTCGGTAACACTTTAGTAGATCCCTGCAACTCAATATATACATAATGAACTGTTTGATCTTCTTCAACGTATCGTAAAGTAAATGAAAGAGATATAGGATTTTACGTGTAGAGTAACAACATCTTTAAAGATGGACTCGAACACATTTGTTAGCAGGGGATTTTTCCTATAAGTAACAAAAAAGGAAATCTCAAAGTTAGATTAGTTAGTACGCGGTATATTGGTTCTTAATTAGCATGTCAAATCATTAGCTTGTATAGGAAATACAACGTATATATCTTACACGCGGATAAAATAACCAGCATCAACCAAGCATTTCACTCTATGAGCTTTAGGCAATAAACTGTGGAAGTGATCACAGTATAGCATTGCTGGATATCCGTTAGCAGAACCACCGGACAGAATAGCCTGCAATTATTAAGTTGTCTCAGGATTTTCCAATGAACGATAACAAATATTACTATTTCTGTTATAGTTTAAACATACGTACGTTCTTGGCATCCTTTAATCCTTTAGCTAAAAGATCCTCGATTATTGCATCAAATATCCTTGCACCTCTAAAATGAAGATTGGTAGCCTAAACAATGTAGGATTTGAGAGTAGGTCAATGTTGTCTCGTCAAAAAACACACCGCTAAAGAAATGTCAGAAACAAACATTCTAAGGGAGTTTTAAAATAGAAACTATAGATTGAAAAAGAGCATACAGGATCAACGTTTTCGATATCTCCAGTGAAAGCTCCACCATCACAATACCTAACAAAGACTTTGTTCCAATTGTAAAAATCTGCATGATTTACAATAAATATAATCAACTTATGATCGATCACGTATATAACTCTTTCTCAATCACATTAAACTTTTTCATTCGGTCCATTCTAGATTATCACACAGTTCTCGAGAATTAACCTGGATTTTCTGTTTTGCTCTTGCTGAAAATGCCTAAAAATATAAATGGCAGCATAAGTGTTGAAGAACCCAAGTCAGTCTTGGAACGATTTAGGCAGTCTGTCGTGTTTCTGCACCATGCTCCTCCCTATTTACAAAGTGGAAATAGAGGTGTCAAATGGGCGGGTTGAGTTGAAATTAGATATACTAAAATGAGTTGTAATAGAAATTGAGTTGGGTCTTGATCCGCCTAAGTTTACTTTGGACTCAAATGAGCTTAAACACGAGTTAGGGCTCAAGAGTTTAACTTGTTTTATGTTAATGTTGAACTTACTGAGAGTAGAATAATCCAGTTTCGAACTCCATGTCCAAATCCTGGATCGAGATGGTATGCTGGAGGCGATCCGTCCAAGCAAACTGCAAGTAAAACAACACTGTACATTATATAAAGATAAATTTTTCTAGTTTTAAGTTAGATTTTGTTTGTACATATACATATTCAACCTGCTCCTTTTGATACAGCATTTTGAACAATTGTTATATCGACAAAATATGCATGATCTGCGTGTTTCTCTTGTTTCAGTAATTCATTTGCTTTTGTAGAATCACTTTTGCTGATGGCAAGAGAACAAATAAGTAAGCAAACAAGTCGAACACTTCTTGTTGACATCGTTAACCTGCACTACATAATTCAAGGATGAGAAATGAAATATTTTCTGTGAAAAATTCAATCTAAGAAAATAGTACAATTTGATAAATTTTTGTCTGATTTACAGATATAATTTTTGTTGATACATTATATAATTGAATGTAGCATAAAAATCAATCTCAAAGTAAGGCTTTCAAAAAGTATTGTTACATGTAGCTAGATTGATCAAATGGAATAATATGTCTCCATTCTAATAGAGAAATAATGGGTCATATAAAATGATTAAAGTTAAAAGACGATAATAGAAGGACCTAAGTTGAAGTTGAAATGGTGACAACTCTTGAGTCGCTGTATGACTATGAAGAAGGTGATTTATATATTATATAGTCCCTCTGTCCCATGAGGTAGTTTGACTCACGCAATTTAAGAAAGAAAGGAAGATTTTAAAAATTTGTGGTTCAAAATTAATGATAAAAATTTGTGTGACAGTAAAATATATATTTTATAATTAAATTGTTATTTAATATAAAAATATATCTATTTTTTAACTAACTAAAAATGAAAGTAAATCAAATAAATTGATGGAGATAAAATATATAATACGCTCAAACTAGATATGAATTGACCTGTTTTTGTTTATTAATTGATCACATGCTATATGGAAGAGAGAACATGGGAGTGAGGAGTGTGCAGTGCAGCAAACAGAGGATTGACTATAATTTATTTTTGTTTTTTTTTGTGTTTATTCATAAAAAAATGTGAAACTAAGGTTGTAGACTCTAATTTTAGATATTAATAATGATCTAGTTGCTTTTATAAAATTCTGGCTAGTTAAGTAATTTTGGGTGTAAAACGGTTCACTTCTAAAGTACCCTTTTGATGAAGTCCTTGAGTAGGGCTGTCTTGACACTCTCAATCATAAGTCCACAAAATTCGCTTGGGATTTCCATTTTATTGAGAGAAAAAAAATTGAATAGAAAATATAACGATCTTTTATCTCATTTAGTATAGGGATTGTTACAAGTAAAAAAATATCTACATACACATTTTTTTCTCATAATTTTCATTATTCCTTATCATTTATAAAATTTTCAAAATTTCTCAATTTCCTCCTAAAACTAACTGCCAGATACATAACTCACAACTCCAAAAACCAAAGTTTATCACTTTCTCATTTCACTTCTTAAATCTCTCTCCATTTTCTTATCAGTTAATTTATCAATTACTTTTCAAATTCAAAATCAAGTCTCTATCCTATCAAACTAATTCAACATGAAGCAGGTAACTTGTTCATCTCTTCAAATTGTCTGTTCATCCTTTATTTTTTTATTTTTTTCTTTCTTCTTCAAAACATTGAATCATATGAATGATGCACCATCTCTTAGTCTTGCTTTTACATAATTAAACTCAAATAACACTTGTCCTTTTTTTATTCCGAAGATATTGGGTTGAAAACAAATAAAAAAACTACACGACTCATTAATAATAGAAATCTCATTGAGAAGTTGAAGATGGAGCATGTAATATCGAATTTGTTGTGAGACTGAAAGCATTGTAATTATGTGTGAACAAAAAAGGGGGACGAGATGAGATGGACATATCAAATAGTTTATTCTTAAGATTGATAAGTTTTCCTATTCAAGAAATTCCCAAAAAATGATGAGGTGCGTGTTTGCCGAATCTGCAGAAAGTTCATCTATGTTAGAAATATAAGCTAAATAGGACTTATATATCAAATGTTTTTTTTTTAAAAAAAAACTACCAATTTTATACTTTTTTTTTGGTAAATCAATAATGATACATAAACAAAAAATTCATCTTTCATATTGTAATGTATCAGTACTTAGTAATCAGTTAGTATGTTGATCTTCTTGTATCGATTATTAAATTTGTTTCAGTTAGCTAATCAAATAATGATACATTAATGAAAATATAATGTGTCATATTGTAATGTATTAATATTTAAGTATAATCAGTTGATATACTAAGTCCTAATTTAGTTCATTATTTGCGGAGTTGTTGTAATTTTTTTGAAATTATTGATACAAAAATAATGTTCAATAGTGTATCATTCAAAACATGTAGTTTTTCCAGTATGCATCAGATATAAAAATTTACGAAAATGTATCAAATACAAACATAAGATAAATGACAAGTTACTAATTTAATTGCACTTTTTTGTTTGTATCATGTTTAAGGGTTGGACAATTTTTGTATCATGTTCAACTGGTGGGCTTTTTTGTATCATGTGTGGAGATGTTCTAATTACGTGAAATTATTGATACAAAAGTTTTAATATCCTATCAAATGATTTTCGAGTTGATTATCTTTGCACAACATATGAAACATTATTATGGAGATACGAGACAAAAAAAGAAAAGTCAGACTATGTTAGCGATAAAGATAATACTCTAAGGCCCAACGGTCGCTCTATTCTACCTCATCAAGATAATTTGATTCTTGTCGATTAGCTATTATGTACTAATGAATAGACACTCTTTGATGTTTTGTGTCTTTTGTTAAGACAATTTTACTTAAGCTTTAAAGTTTACTATAAAAACTGTTCATGTCATTTTCTGAATTTGAATTTTTTTGTTATTGATTATATCATATAAATTTTTATATTTTGTGTTTTAATTATAGTGTTGTTGATACATAACATATCACATGATACTTAAATCTTTTACATTATTCATTTGAAGTTCAGAAATATATGTATCTGATTCATAACTAAGTTTAATCAATTGTATATAAAGAAAAATGATGTTTGTTTGATACATTACGTGTATATGATGTTTTCCACCTGTTGAACATGATACAAAAGGAAAATTCAGAAACACATAATCAATCTTTCACTTCATCTATATGATACACTAGATATGAGTTTTATCAATGTATATAATTACATAATTATGCATCAGATTCTCATAAGTTAATTATGTATCAAAAGTAGTGAGATTTATGTATAATGTATCTAATACATATTTACTGCAATGTAGTAATTAGAAAAGTAGGATGCATAAATGTAACATCTTGTTCTTCAAAACAGCAATTGCGTGTGAACAAAGTATTTCGTCTAGTTGAAATCTTCCATAATACATATTTTTTGCTCGAGGCTAATAATGTATCTTCTTTCAAATTCATAAACCAAAAGGATAAAATTAAGACGATGCAACAACCTGCAAAATTTGAATAAGTCAATGATATTGCCATAAGCTTGCCCTTATTTTCACTACTTTAAGTTCGCTATACAACTTTTAAGATCACGAGACTTTCTTAGCTTGTAACATAGGCTCAGGGGAAGGTAGGGTATATTTAGGTATACTCTAGTGACTTTTTTCCCTCCTTTAACATATCGGCTAAACATACCACTTTTAACCATTTTATTTCGCCCAGTTTCTCATAATCTTTCACCTTGCTATTTTCCCTTCTTTCTTCATTTATGTAAGTGACTCTCTTCTTTTCTTGCTTGTATTTAATGTATTTTTTTTATTTCACTTTTCTTTCAACTGATTCTTGAGTCACTTTACTTTTGTTCTTTCTCTCTCTTTATTCATTCAACCCCACTTTTCAGAACATTCCTCATAATAGCCACCCTCAACTCATGGCTTTGCCATGAGTCAAAGTACACAATACCCAAAGTTGGGTCAGGGCCATAAAAAGGTTATTTACTGCATTAGCCACCCTCAACTTATGCTTTTGGCATAAGCTGAAGTGCACATGTCCAAGGAGGGACCAGGGCAAACACATTATTCCCGGAAAAGATCAGTTGGGGTGAAAAAGAAAGGTCTAGTTTAAGCTCAAATCATTTGGATCAAAGAAGGATTAATTTCATTTGTTTTTTTATTTAGGCTAAAAATGGGCTATATTGAACAAGAGCCTGTGATCCTTTTCTAGTTGTCTATTACAACTTACTTTTAGCTTAACTAACAAGGCAAGTTCTAGCTCAGTACAAATAGTGACTATTCAAATCTTCCTCACACTTTTGTGACATCTCATTACTCTACCAGATTATCAGACACCTAGTTCGAATTTTAGACTTAGGGTCATGCAGTGGTGTATCTCTATGTCATGCTTAGAGCCACACATTTATCAATTACTATGTCTAGTCATGCATCATTTTTATTTCATCAGGATTTCATTTTAGCCATCATGCTTCAGAGTTAAACTATGTACACAAGATATAGACATGCCGGTTCAACAATAAAAATAATCAGTCTCTTGCGGAAAAAGAACACAGGCAAGAAAACCCACAAATAGGATAGTGAATTGGGCTACTCATACTTCACCCTAGCACTCACTTTCAATTAACCCCACCCCCAACAAAAAGACATGCAATTTTCCCCAATGCATAAAAAAATTGGAATACGAGAGTGGTAGGTGAAGCGAACCTGGGGCGCAAAGCACCGACAATCAGCAAGATGGTGGGTCCGGTTCCCCGAAACCTGTTACCTCTGTAATCTGGACAACCTCAGTAGTGTCCTCATCAGCAACAACACTATCAGCAGTGCCTCCCTCTATCTCCACATTTCTGGAGCTAGATGCCCCAATATCTAACTTTACAGCCCTTATTCAACGCGCCTCCTCATCAGCAAGCGTGGCTCTCCTCGCAGCCTCCATCTCAAGGCTCCTTTTTTCGTGTTCTAGCCTCATCCTCCTCTTGACCCCTACGCCTCTTGGCATGCTCTCGAGCGGGAGGTGGTGGAATCTCAGAAGTGGCGAATAAGGTCGCCATCACTGTGTCCTCAGCAGGCTTTGCAGAAGGGGCCTCATACTCAGGCACCCTAGCCTCTAGGATCATATCAATGTCTGCGCGAAGACTCTCGACCGCAGTCTGAAAGGTCGACACATCCACCTAAGGGGCTGGCCGGGCTAGCACCCGCAACTCAAAAGCATCCAAGCGCTGATGAACCTCAGAAATCTTCCTCTCTGTGTGCTGGACCATTCTCCGCTCCAAGCGCTCTTCTTCCTCAGCAATGGACCTCTACATCCAAGGCTGGATGTGATGCATAAGTGTAGCCATCTGTGCCTCTAGTTTCTGGAACCTAGACAGAGCGGG